ATTAGCTTCCACATACTAATTAATTAATTTCTGTAGCCTGTCAATTGTTTATTGCTTACTCCATCCTGCTAGATTACAGAAGATGAGGCCCAGAAGTCAGGATTTTAAAAAGATTCCCAGGTGATTCTAATGTGCAGCCAAGGTTGAGAACCACTGTGCTAGAATGTAAAATCCACTTGGGCAGGGCCCTTTGTTTTGCTCACTACTGTATCCCAGGTGCCTAGAATAGAGCCTAGTGAATAGCAGTTGCCTAAATCATGAGTAAATGAGGAATAAATAAATATATAGATGTTAGTATTATATATTCACAAGTAGAATGAAGTAGATAGAATTGGACAAGAAAGCAAATTATATATATAATATATATATATATTATATATATAGGAAATAAAAATATGTTTTGTACACATATATACTTATACACACACATATATGCATATACGTGCATATGTATTTAGAATTTTGAATATATATTTAGAATATTGAACTAAAAATGTGTGTGTGCGTGTGTGTGTGTGTTGAAGTGAGTCCTTGCAATTAGCATTACTATAAGGATAGTTTGGGAGAGAGAACACAAGAAAAATATGAGTAACAGACAACAAACAAGTAAACCAAAGGATTACAAGTGATTTCAGGATAAGAAATAAGGTACTGAGACTAAAACAGTAATGAGAACAACAGCATTGGCGGGAGAAAGCACATTTTTAAATAGGGGAGTCAGGGGTGGCACCTCTGGGCAGATGACATTTGAACTAAGGAAAAAGCCTGAGAAGGAACCAGAATAGGTCTTGGGTCAGGGCTGAGGTGGCTGGAGCCAGGTGAGAGGGAGAGAAAGGCTGGAAATAAGGTCCTGAGGTAAACAGGGGCTAGAGCAGTCTGGTCTTGCTGGCCATGGTAAGGAGTTGGGATTTTATGCAAAAAGCAGCAGGAAGTCTCTGAAAGGACTAAAGCAGGATGGTGAGTAGGTTTGACATATTTGGAGCTAAACAGAGAGAGAAGAAAAATAGAATTTATTTATAAGATGTGATAAACTACTCTGATCTCATATAGGCTCCTAAGAATAGTCAAGGAAGACAATTTGGTTTCATTTATGTGTCATTCATAGTCTTTCTTTCCAAGTAGACTGTCTTGAAAAATACTAAAATAGGTAAAACCAGATCATTTTTCCTTTTTAAAAATGATATCATTCTTATTTCCAAATGTACTAAGTAATGGATGGAAATGTATACAATCACTATTGCTCAGTTCAGTTCAGCTGGAAATTCTACAGCTCTTGTGTAGGAGTTTTATATAATCAGTCCCCCAAAATATTGGACCTAGAGCTATTTCCTTGTAAGATTTGTAGACACCAGTTTTTGAAATCTGCTGTACTAAATAGTGAGCATGTAAAATGCAAATGTAATTTTACATAAGATCAATTTCTTCTTTCTGGCTCTACCAGTCTAATTGGCTCCTAACTCTTCAAGAAGTAGAACTCCTTGCCCAGCCAGTGTTGCTCAGTGGTTGAGCATCCACCCAAACACCAAGAGGTCATAGGTTTGAGTCCCAATCAGGGCACACGCCCAGGTTGTGGACTTCATCCCAAGTAGGGGCAAGCAGGAGGCTGCTGATAGATGTTCCTCTCTCATCGATGTTTCTATCTCTCCCTCCCTCTCCCTTCCTCTCTTTCTCAAATCAATAAAAACATATTTTTTTTAACAAATTAGAACTCCTCCATGAAGTCTTTACTGACATTAGCATATGTAGTCTCATGCATACCTCTTAATATGATCTAAAAGTAGTTTGATAATGTTGAGCAGGAGGCTGCTGATCGATGTTCCTCTCTCATCGATGTTTCTATCTCTCCCTCCCTCTCCCTTCCTCTCTTTCTCAAATCAATAAAAACATATATTTTTTAACAAATTAGAACTCCTCCATGAAGTCTTTACTGACATTAGCATATGTAGTCTCATGCATACCTCTTAATATGATCTAAAAGTAGTTTGATAATGTTGGCCAGGAAACCTTCAAGTGCTTTACAAATATTAGCTTATTGAAACCTCAGAATTACTTTATTAGGCAGAGGGACTCAACATTTACAATCAACATTTTTCTAAAGAGAAAACTGAGGCCCAAGGTCATAGAGTTAGTCATTGGTAGAGTTAGTATTTGAACTTTGGCAATTTAAACCAATGAATATTTTATTCATGTCTATTTGTCCCCTTTTATGATGCCTCATACGGAAGAATAGTTTAATAAATGCACTGAATCAGTGAATGAATGTATGGCCTATTTCAAATTGTATCATTTCATGAGCATATAGTGGTAAAAATGTGGGTTTTAAATTGAGGCAACCTGAGCAGGGTAATGCTATTACTAGTATTACCTCTGTGCTATGGTAAAATTACTCAACATCTCTAAACTTGTTTCTTTATCTGTATTGTTGGCACAAGGCTAAAACTGATGTTAGGATTAAATATATACTTATAGTGCTTAACGCAGTGCCTGCAACATAATTAGTGCAAAGTCCATTGAGCTGTTTTTTAAAATTATTTTTTGAAATAAAATAACCTCCCCAAATATGCTTACACTTACATACTTGGGCAGTTTTCCAGTTGTGATGTTAATTTTGTTCCAGGACCCATTTTGGCACCTTGCCTTCAGCAGGGCACTCCTCTCGGTTGAAGGGCCGGTCCTGTGGAACCCACCTGGGAGCAAAGGTGCTGGAGGACAGCCCCGTCTCTCCTCGGACGTACCTGCAGGCAGCCTGCCAACGCTGCCCATCCTTCTTCCAGTCTGCCTGGCTTGCTGGAAAGTTATTTTGCAGTCCAGCGACGGCCACAGGACATTCTGAGTGACAAGGGAAAAACAACAGAGGACTCACATTTCCCTGGATAACACTTAATACGGCTACTTTACAGAGCTTGCCGGACGTCTAGGGCCTCTTGCTAATCATAATCACTAATAATGATCCAGTTTTCATGTGTGTCAGGGGCTGGGTTGAGTACTTTAAGTTCATGGTCTCATTCAATCATTATTGCAACCTTATGTGAATTTTAAATTTTAGTTGTAAACTACAAATTGAAGAGTACCATAGTTGCCTCCATGTGTGTATTGGGGGACTCTGATGAGAAAAATCAACTGTTTCTTAGCAGTGTTTTGCCTCATTTTTCTTCCAAAGCAAGTGGCGCAGGGTTGCGACACCTTTGGAGGCTCCAGGGAACTTCCCTGCAGTGATGGGATGTTAGGCAGAGAAATAAGATAAAGGTTGTGTGGAGAAGGCAAGAAACGTCATTCTAATGTTTATTTTACCGTAGAAGAAGCTAGTAACAATGAACTGAGTCCAATTTGTTGGCTGCATGTGTTTGCTTCTTTGTAAGAAACTAATACTGTGTCAATTTGCAATGCCCTTTTTCTTCTTCTTCTTTTTTTCTTTTCTTTATATGGGGTATTTAAAAGGTTTAACTTTGATCCTCCCACCTCTCCCAAGTTTGATGATTTATTTCCTTTGAAGAAAGATGTATGCAATACACACACACACACACACACACACACACATGCAAACAGTGACTGAATTATATGGCTAATACCCACTGCATATTTGTTGGATACATGCATGACAAATATTTTTAAAATCTCTTTTTTTTTTTCTGAGAATCAGAGCTGCTGTGAGATTTTTTTAAATGGTAAATTTCAATATGTAACTTTCTTTTAAAATTTTTGTTTTAAAAATAATTTAAGAAGGAAATTATTCTAAAATATGTGGTATTGATCTTGGTGATTCAGGACAGCTTATTGGAATAAATTGTAATTCCTTTAGAATTTATTGAGGTGAGATCCTTTACACATACAGGGTGTCCCTCAAAAATGAAAACACACTTTAATAACTGGTAGCTCAATTTTGAAAATGAAATGTATTTTAATAATTATTCAAAGTATGAGTATACATATTTTGGGGCCCCCTATACTAAATGGTCCCTGACTGGTATACTTTTAAATTTGTGTAATCTGATTCTCATAAATTTCCTGCCCTTTCTCTTTCATTGTCTGCTATTTCTTCTTGCTTTCAGCATGTCTTGCTCTAGCAATTTTCTCTCCATTCCCTATTCAATTAGCTGTTTCTGCTTTACTATTGACTAGGGAGCCGGCTAACAAGTTTGGTTAGAACTGTCTGTATGACAAGAATAAACAGTGTTGAATTTGGACTAGATTGTCTCTTCTCTAAGGGAAGGGAATGGGAAGGTAAAATGACTATAGAAATAGTCTGCTATAAGTGAGGTATACCACACGTACGTATACAGTGGCCCTGGGTTTCAGTTACCTGTGTTATTCAAAAGGAAGTAGTGGCATGGACAATTCACTTACTCTTTTGGACAATAAGCATTTTCTGAAAACCTCCTGTAGGCAAGACGCTGGCAAGTTTTGGAGATTAACATACAGTCACACAAACACAGCCCCTGAAGAATCAGAATTTATAAATCCTTATGAAAATAAGATATGCACAGGAGTTTATAGCACAACTTGTGTCATATTTGGAACAGGGTGAGAGTATATGGCCAGTAAAAGATATACAGTAAAGCATCCTGATGTTTCAGAGGAAAACACTGTGTCACTCAGGAAGGGGTTCATGAGGAAGTGGTATTTAAAATGAATCTTGAAGTGATGATAGGTTTTAGACAGAGATCAGTAGGGAGGAGTGGAGAATGAGTTAGGGTCAGACCAGAGGAGCAGAAATAAAATGGATTAATGTTATGGAATATGGAATTTATCATAGGAATTAGATCTTCAAATGTGGGAGAAGCTTTGGGGGCAATTAAAGCCCCCAAAAGGGACAGTTGGGAAATCAGATAAAAGTTCCTAACCAAGGACTCTGAGAGGGAGCTGGTAAAGAAGTCTGGGGGAGACTGTTGCTCTGTCTGTGGTAGGCAGACAGTAAGCAAGAAGAGCTGGATGTGAAGTAGAAGAGAGTAACCTGGAACCCAAGAGGACAAACTGAAACCCTGAACTGTCTCTCACTGTAGCTAACCCCTGATCTGTGGTACCTGGCCAAAAGCTGGTGCACGTAGCCATGGAGCTTCACACCTGCCTGGCCCTGGACTTGGGGAAGTTGAAGGGAGATGAAGGAGTGTGAGTGTGACTGCTGCCCCCATCTAGGAGGTGAGCCTCCAGGTCAGCAATAATGTGTGTGAGCAATTAGAAGGACCTTCCTAAAGCATTGGTTACCGCTTTGCTTATCCCATCCATCTCTCATGCAGATTTCCCTGTGGGCAGTCCTAACTAGGAACCATACCAGAAAGGGAATTCTGGAAAACATAATTCCAGTTTAAGTGGACACAGTTAAAAACCACACGTGATACCTCAACTATAGGAAACAGGGTGAAAACATAAATTGAAGGAGGGAAAGCCAGTTGAATTGGGAGATGGTATATGCTCAATGGGGTCACTGAAGGTCAGACTTTCAAAAAGTGAGCTGAGGCTGTATTGTTGAGAATCTTAAATGCCCTGTTGAGGAATTTGCACTAAATCCTATAAGGCAAGGCAGAGAGTATTCTTAAGCAAGAGAGGCATTACCAGATCCCTGTTTTAGACAGCTCTGGCATTGGAAGTCATAGCATTGGAACTCAGAAAGGGGATAGGTGGGGCAATTAATCATGATTCTGTTGTAATAATCCAGGTAATAAAATTTGCATCCCAGAGCTCTCTTCTGCTCCCACCAAAGGAGGTGGCTCAGAGTCATCATAAGAGGTTGCTCAGGATTATCCTGGGAATGAAGGGTCTTTGGTGTGCATTGCAAGCCAAGGTGATTTGATCTATGGCTAATATTGTCAACTATAATGTCACTAGAGGCCCGGTGCATGAAATTCATGCATGGGTAGGGTCCCTAGGCCTGGCCAGCAATCAGGGCCCATCTGTGGGGCGACTGGAGGGGCAGTTGGGGGGGCTCCTGCTGGCATCTGCCTTGGCTGGCCTGGCGCCGCCTGCTCGCCTGCCCCAACCCCCACTGCCCCTGCAGTTGCCTTCCTCTGCAGGGACCAGCAGGGCGATCGGGGGGGCCCCTGCTGAGACCCATCTTAGAGGCAACCTGCAGGGCGATCGGGGAGCAGTTCCAGCCTGCTCGCCAGCCGTCCCTGTTCCCCAATTGCCCTGCCACCATCACCAGTCGCCTCCCTCTGCGGGGCGACTGGCAGAATGATTGGGGGCCCCCGCTGGCACCCACCTTGGCTGGCCTGGCGCCGCCTGCTCGCCGGCCCCAACCCCCACTGCTGCTGCAGTTGCCTCCCTCTGCAGGGACCAGCAGGGCGATCAGGGGGCCCCTGCTGGCATCTGCCTTGGCTGGCCTGGCGCCGCCTGCTCGCCGGCCCCAACCCCCACTGCTGCTGCAGTTGCCTCCCTCTGCAGGGACCAGCAGGGCGATCAGGGGGCCCCTGCTGGCATCTGCCTTGGCTGGCCTGGCGCCGCCTGCTCGCCGGCCCCAACCCCCACTGCTGCTGCAGTTGCCTCCCTCTGCAGGGACCAGCAGGGCGATCAGGGGGCCCCTGCTGGCATCTGCCTTGGCTGGCCTGGCGCCGCCTGCTCGCCGGCCCCAACCCCCACTGCTGCTGCAGTTGCCTCCCTCTGCAGGGACCAGCAGGGCGATCAGGGGGCCCCTGCTGGCATCTGCCTTGGCTGGCCTGGCGCCGCCTGCTCGCCGGCCCCAACCCCCACTGCTGCTGCAGTTGCCTCCCTCTGCAGGGACCAGCAGGGCGATCAGGGGGCCCCTGCTGGCATCTGCCTTGGCTGGCCTGGCGCCGCCTGCTCGCCGGCCCCAACCCCCACTGCTGCTGCAGTTGCCTCCCTCTGCAGGGACCAGCAGGGCGATCAGGGGGCCCCTGCTGGCACCCATCTTGGAGGCAACCTGCAGGGCAATCGGGGGGCGGTGCCAGCCTGCTCGCCAACCGTCCCTGTTCCCCAATTGCCCTGCCACCATCCGCCAGTCGCCTCCCTCTGCCGGGCGACTGGCAGGATGATCGGGGGCCCCCACTGGCACCCACCTTGGCTGGCCTGGGACCTGCTGGCTGGGGGCAGTTCCTGCATTGAGCATCTGCACCCTGGTGGTCACACCTGCAGCTCCTACCTGCCACTCCTGCTGTGGCTGCCACGGGCTCGTGCCCTATCAGTCCCAATCGATCGGGAGAGGCTCGCACTGCCGCAGCAATGCTCCCCAGCCATGAGCCCTGCATCTGGCAGCCTCCTAAAGGGAGTGGACTGTGGGATTGGGCTCAAACCAGCTCTCTGACATCCCCCAAGGGGTCCTGGATTGTGAGAGGGCTCAGGCCAGGCTGAGGGACCCCACCAGTGCATGATTGGGCCGGGGAGGGACCACAGGAGGGCTCCAGGGCATGTCCAGCCCATCTCACTCAGTCCCGATCAGCCAGACCTCAGCAGCAAGCTAACTTATTGGTCATAGCATCTGCCCCCTGGTGGTCAGTGCACGTCATAGTGAGTGGTTGAGCAGCCTTAGCATATCATTAGAAGATTACACTTTGATTGGTTGTTCGATTGTTCTGCTGTTTGGTCTATTTGCATATTATCCTTTTATTATATAGGACTAGAGGCCTGATGCACGAAAATTCATGCAAGAGTAGGCCTTCCTTCCTCCAGCTGCCAGCACTGGCTTCCCTCCAGCCCCCGGGACCCAAGCTTCCCTCCTCCAGCCACTGACAGGCACCCGGGACCCGGGCTACTTCCCTCCTCTGGCCACCCACAGGCACCAGGACATTGGCTGGCTTCCCTTGGGCTGCCCACAGGCACCCAGGAACTGGGCTGGCTTCCCTCCAGCCCCCTGGGACCCAAGCTTCCCTCCTCCAGCCACTGACAGGCACCCAGGATCCTCGTTACTTCCCTCCTCCGGCCACCCGCAGGCACCAGGACATTGGCTGGCTTCCCTCGGGCCACCCACAGGCACCCAGGAACTGGGCTGGCTTCCCTCCGGCCCCAGCTTCGTCAGGAAGGATGTCCAGAATGACACCTGGAAGACGTCTGGTCTAATTAGCATATTACCCTTTTATTATTATAGACTAGAAGCCCAGTGCACAAAATTCATGCACGGGG